TTCCCTAGAGGGTACTCTTCTAACAGATTGAAGTCGAGTTCTTTACATTTTGTTTGAATAACTTCGCAGAGTGCTTTATGTTCTTGTTTGAGATTCTCAGGGTGGTTTTTTTGTTCATCAAAATCTGCTGCAAGTTTACTGTGTTCTTCCCTTTCTTTCTGAAATTTTTTCTTATCTTCTTTGCTGAGCAAAAGCTCCCTCTCTAAGGCTTCTTTTTCTTTTTTTAACTGATTCACGACATTAATGTCAGTGTTGGAGTCCAGACACTTCTTCCTGTCCCCAGCACTTAAATCAGGCTCTTCTGAACTGGAATTTTTCAACAATTCTTCCTCCTTCTTAACTTCAGATTTCACCTTTTCAAGAGCTAAGAGCAGCTGAGAACGTTCCTCTTCATACGCACTTGCTTTTTCATCGAGCATAGATTGCATACGAGCAAGCAGGCAGTTCTTTTCCTCTAAAGATTTTAGGTTCTGCTCACATATATTTTGTTTTTCAGCAATGACAACATTTAGTTCAGCAATACTGTCCTGAAGTTCCTCCAAATGAGAGGCTTTTGCAGACAAAATTTCAGTCAAATCACTTATTTTGGCATCTTTTTCTGAAAGCTGTTGCTTCAAAGTTCCAAGATGAGACTCAAAATCTTTATTTTGTACTTCAACTAGTTTCAGCTTGTCTGTTAACTCATCAACTTTCTTCAACAACTCCTCTGCTTTTTTTTGCTCTTTTTCTACTTCTTCCTGTCCATTCTTTTCTAGTTTTCCAACTTTTTGCATTAGATCTCTCCTTATTATCAATGCTGCTTGAAGTTTCTTTTTCAGATTCTCTTTTTCCTTGCCCATTTTCTCAAGATTAAACTGCATCTCCTCTTTTTCGTTCATCAAATCTTTAAACACAGCTTCTCTATTGCTTAATGTAACCTGACTGTGTTCCAGTTCTTTCTTACAGTCCTCAAGTTCCTGCAATACTTGGTTTAGCTCTCCTACAGAACTATTATGAGCAGCTTCAAGCTCTTGCAGTTTGGTATTTAACGTATTTCTCTCTTCAGAAAAATTCAGCATTTCATTAGACAATGATTCCATGATCTGGGCAACAGAACAGTCCTTTTCCTTCAGTTGCTGGCTTAGACTAAATATTAAATCCTTCTGCTGAGTAACCTGGGAAGTTAAGTTTTCTATGAGTTGATCTTTTTTTACGATTTCTTCAAGGAGACTTGCTACTTTTTTCCCTTCAACATGCAATTTTTCTTGACTGGTTCTTACTATTTCTTCTGATACATTTATCTTATCTTGAAGAAATTCAACCTGCTTATTTATTTCTGCAAAAGACTCTTCCCTTTCTTGCAAGAGAGACTGTTGTTCACACAACGTTTCCTTGACTGTGGCCATTTCTTCTGACAGACATTCAATTTCAGATTTGTATTTACCCTTCATCTTTTCAATATCATTCTGCAGCAACTCCTTCTGCTTCTCAAGTGACCGCATACTTTTTAATTCATCTTTCATAGTGTCTATTTCTTTCTGTTTTTCTAAAAGCACCAGTTGCAATTGTTCACCTTCTGTTTCTTTGCTCAAGATAGCAGTTATTAGAGCGGAGAATTTTTCCAACTGAATTTTACTATCAGTTAGATGCATTTCAGAATCTGAAGTCTGTGCCTTCTTTTCTTTACATAAAAGCCTACTACTAAGCAATGGAGATAAGCTTTGAGTTAATTCCTCTTTTACAAGATCCAGCTCTTGCTGCAAAGACTGGATTTTACTATCCTTTGATTTAATTTCACTTTCTAAACTGCTCAATTGCTCAGTAAGATTACTATTTTGTAAAGTTGCCCTATCAAGTTCCGTCACCCATTTGTTTTCTGACTCAAGTAGTCTTTGTTCTAGAGTTTCAAATTTAAGTTCTAATTTAGAAAGTTCTTCACCCTTCACACTAACCTGCATCTGTAACTTCTCTTTTTCAGTCTTCATCTGCAGTTTGACAGCATCTATCTGCATTCTTGAATAATTCTCACTGGTTTCTAGTTTTTCATTGATTTCTCGGAGCTCTTCCAAATTCTTTTGCAGATTATTTTGAGATGCAGCAAGTTGCATGTTTTCAGCCATCAGTTTATCAGCATCTTCTTGTAACAGAAGTTTTTCTTTCTGTAAAGACTCTACCTGACACTGCAGACTACCTATTAAAAGCGCATTGTCACGGCAGTCTTGAGACGATTTGGAATTTACATTGTTCAACTCTAACTTCAAACATGCTATGTTATCTGCCTGTTCAGTGCACTTCACACGGAGAGACTCCACAGCCAGTTCTTTTTGCTGTAGTTCTTCTTTCCATGTACTTATTTGGTTGAGTGCTTTTTGGTATTCATTTTTTAGACAGTCAAGTTCAGTTGTCAAAGAATCCACTGTCTTCTGATTAATATCAAGCTTCTCGTTCTTTTCCTGAAATTCCTTATTAAGATTTTTCATGGCTGTACCACTTTCCTCTAATTTTTCTCTGAGAACCTCAATCTCACTAGAAAGAGCATTAACATTGTTATCTGCCAATTGTATACTGGCATCTTTCTCCTTTAAAGAATTAAGCAGTCCAGCAATAACTACTTCTTTTTGGCCAAGAGCTGCATTCACCTCAGTTTTTAGTTCATACTGTGCTTCAATTTTCTCCTGAAGAGATAAAAAGGCATTTTCTTTCTCATGGACTAATTCTTTAGACTTCTGTAGTTCTTGCGTTAGTTCATGTACCTGACTTTGGAGCTGAGGAATTAAATTTGTCTTCTCTTCATCTTTCCTTGCTTTCTCCTTCAGAGTTTTGAGGAGACTCTTATTTTCTGAAAGAGATGATTCCTTTTCTGATAAGGACTGCTCCATCTCAATTACTACATTCTTCTGATGTTGTATTTCCTTTTGTAAATTCACTTTCACTTCCTCCAGCTCTACCACTTGTTTCTTTAAGACCTCACATTCAGTCTCTTTCTCATGAAGTTGTGCCTTTAAATTCTCACTGAATAATGAAACATTATTGATGGTTGATTCTTTTTCTGAAACAAGTACTTTTAATTGTTCTGCTGCAGAGGCTAAAAGCTCTAACTGTTTCTGCTGCAAAACAGAAGACTCCTGTACCTCAGAAAGCTGTGCTTTTAAACTGATGTATTCATCTAACTTTTGTTTTAAAGATTCATCCTTCTGTATAATTGAATCATTCAACTGGGATGATTTTTCTGTCACATTTCTAAGCTGATATTGAAGGTCAGAAATAACCTCCATATTCTCAGACAGTTGAACCCTAAGTACATCAGACTCTTCAGATTTATCTTTTAATAACTTTAATTCTTGGGTTTGCCTCTTAAATTCATTTTCTTTTTCCTGCATTGCGTGTCTAAGCTGGCTGCTTTCAAAACCTAGGGCTTGTATTTGGTCTTGCAGATCTGAAATGATTTGCATATATTGCCCCTCTCCTGCCATTTTACTATCTTTCATTTGCTGAATCAAAGCCTCCTTTTCAGAAAGGAGAGTTTCTTTTTCTTTAAAGACAATTTTTAAGTTTTCTTTTTCAATCAACAGGCCATCAATTTGGTCCTTCAGAGCTAAAATATTATGACTTTGTTGGGACAAGTGTGAAGTTAAAGCAGCTACTTCATCTGACTTTTTCATTACCATAACATTAACTGTTTCAATGTCTACTTTCAATTTTTCGTTTTCTAGAGTTGCTGCATGTGCTTGTTGCATTGCTGAAGTAATTTCAGACTGTTGCTGTACCACCTGTGACTGAAGAACTTCACATTCATGGGACTTCTCACTCAGTAAGCTTGAAAAGTCCTCCTTTTCATGCTTAAGCACACTCACTTCTTTGCTTAAAAGCTGGAGCTGATTATTTAACATCGTATTTTCTTCCATTTTTTCAGAAATTTGCCTATGAAACTTCTCAAGTTCTGAACCCTGACATTTTGCAGCCAGGTCTCTTTCTTCTACCAACTGAGACAACTTTGTTTTTTCATCTTTAAGATTTTTAATTTCATCCTGCAACTCTACAATACAAAGCTTACTCTCTTCCATTTCCTTATGTAATGAATCATTTTGAAGGATTTTCTCCTCTAGAGATCTGTTCGCAGTTTCAAAATCCAAAGTTAGGATTTGAATTTGTTCCTGCAGTAGTAAATTCTCTTCCTTACTATGGTTGAGTTCTTGGATTAGGCTACTGCATTCAGATAACTTATTATTTAACATTTCTTCTTTCTTTATTTCTTTGTCTCTAGTATCCTTCAGCTGAATTAGAAGTGATTGCATTTGTTCATGCAACTGTTGTGTCTGTTCCTTGCTTTCAAACAACTGATCAGCTAGCACATTACGTTCCTTTGTTTTCTCCTGCAGCTGTTCTGCAACTGAATTTTCTTTTTGCTTGGCAAGTATTGAAAGTTGTTCAATCTCTTTTGCCAGAGTGTTTTTATCACAATTGAGTACTGAAAGAGTTTTTTCATACTCAGCAGTGCTAGCAGATAACTTATCCTCTATTTCTGCCACAGCCTGGATTTTCTTTAACAATTCACACTCTTTTACATCCAGGAGTTTGGACAAATTCTCATTTTCACCAATTAGCTGTTCCTTCTCTTTTTCCACCATATCTATACTTTTTTTCAGATATTCATTTGCTTTTATTTGCTCTGCCAATTTTTCTTCTTTCTTTTCAAGATCTGCCTGCAATTGCTTATTAGCTGAAACTTTCTCCTGTGTCTCTATTTCCATCTTGTTCATTTGTTTATTTATTTCATTTAACTGGTTATTAAGTTCTTTGCAACATGTCTCTTTGGCTTTCAGATCTCCAGTTAATTTAAGTTTAGTCTCTTCATTTTGCTGCTCCAAAACCTCAAGCTTCTGCTCTAATGAAATAACAAACTCTTGTTTCTCCTGTAATTCTTTTTTAATTGTTTCTTGATGTTCAGTACGTTCCATAAGCTTCCTAGATAACTCAGCCAACTCTTCATCTTTTTTAGCATTTTCCAAAACAAGTTTGTTGTATGAATCTTTAATTGATTTTAACTCATTTTCAAGTGTCTGTGCTTTACTCTCTTTCTCTTTAAGCAAATCATTCCATTTCTCCTTTAAAGTATTGTTTTCCTCAAGCTGAGATTTCAAATATTCAGTTTCTTTTCTTAGTTTATCCTCATTTTCTTGTAGCTTTTCAGATGATTTACTAATTTGTTCTTTCAGCAAAGTAATTTGTGACTCACACTCTGCAAGTTTGTTATGGTATGCAACATTATTGGCTTTGATTTCAGCACGGAGATCCTTAATTGTAATGCTGTTCTCACTGCTTTGTCTTATTAATTCCTCATTTTCTTTGGTTTTAGTTTCATTCTCAACTCTAACTCTTTCTAGCTCTAGTCTCATTGCATTACTTTGCTCAGAAAGGGCAGATATCTTCATGCTTGCATCTCTTACATCAGCTGTTTGTACTTCTTTCAGTAAATGCGTTTCCCTTTCAGCCTTTGATAAAGCCTCTTCCATCCCTCGTATTTCTTCCTCTTTGCACTGCACTTGACACTTCAGGATGATAACCTGTTCAGAATATTCTGTCATATTCAAAGACAGGGCAGACATCTCCCTGTCTTTTTCTGCCAGTGCTTCTTTAAGATTATCAATCTCTCTTTCACACTTCTGGAGATCTTGAATAAGTTGAGATCTTTCCTCTAAATGGCTTGTATTCAATTTGTCAAGCTCTTCATTTGTCTGGTCCAGATCCAGCTGCATCGACTCTACCACGCCATCTTGTTTCAAAGTCTAAACATCAAGAAAATAACGTTAGAAGAATACTTCAAACTTATGTTAGAAATACATTCCACATGTAGAACAAATATCTAAGGTAACCAATCTGTACCTGACTGTAGAGTCACAAGATAACCATGATATTCTTTAGATTGTTTTAGCATGCAGAAAGTTTAGTGTACGAAATTTTTAGCAGCTAATGCTGTGATTTTACTGACATTTAAATGGGCCATGTCAAAAGTTCTCTTACATTATTTTGACGAGTTACCTTTTCCTTCAGTGTAGCGACTTTTTCTGTTAGATCACTGATGACTGTTTTCTGCTCAGTGTTCTCCACTTCATAAACACTGCATTTCTTTAAGGCTTCATTCAGCTTAGTATTAAAAATAAAGGTCAATGTGATAGAAATATATAGAATTATACTAAAGTTGTGATGTTAGAGTTATAATATTGAGTTTACATAACAGTGGAGCTTAAACATAAGCATAACGTATCACCCCAATAAAACATACTTTCATGCAAAGCTCTGTGCTGGATCTAAGAAATCCTTACACCCAACTTAAAGCAAAACAATTGCATGAAGTGAACAAAACTGTAAAGAAACAGAGCAAAAACCTTCAGATAGGGAAAACAGCAATATTGCTGCTGGGACACAAATAGAAAGTTATGGCAAATGCTTGCCAGTTCTAATAAATTAAATACTATTTAACAACAACTTTAACTTACTTTTTGCTCAGCATGCACAAACTTTTCACCAAGCTCTTTGTTCAGAATATCCTTTTCTTGAAGCAGTTTCCTCAAACTTCCAATTTGTTCTAGTTTTTCTGTCATGCTCAACAGTTTTTGTTCTTTTTCTCCAAGTGAAGTTTCAAGGAAGCTATTTCTGTCACTTAATCTAAGAAGAAAATACACATTTAGATATTTTGAAAACAAAGCTTGCTTTAAGCTTTCTAGTCTTATTAGTCCTAAACTATGATCCTAAAAGAATAATTATTTTCACACTTTGCATTTAAACTTCCAAATACAAAAATAACATTACTGCAAACAGAAGCAGGAATCAAGTAACTCTTTTTCAAGTGTTTTAAGAAATTATACTTCTCATTACAAGTTTAAGCTCAAAGCTAAGCAAGCTAATCCTATACAGAGTTGTAAAGGATCTTTCTCCTACCCTTTAAGTTGCTCATTCAAGCTAGAGATCAGGATTTGATGCTTTTCTGCATCTCGCAATTGTTGGTTGCGTAATTGGGTGAGTTGAGTTTGCAAACGTTCATTTTCATTCTGCAACAAAATAATAATGAAGAGGATTATCACATACAAACACCCGGAATAGCATAAGATAACTGGAGTCATGAAAATCTGACTCTTCAAGCAATTTACATCCTATACGGTAATAAAGACTGTTATTCTAGCACTTTAGCAGGTATCAGTGCAAAATACAACGCTAACATCACAAGTTCAGATGTGATATTAGTTCACACCGATGCAACCCACCTTTCAGAAATATCTCCTTCAGCAATGCTATGATAGCATGAACTCAAGGATGATTTGCTGTATACCCAAAACAACACACACACTCATACTGTGTTAAGGCAGCTTACTTATCTTAATAGAGGAAGCTACTGCTTTGAAAAAATACTTTCCTCATTGGTTTGAAGACAGTATCAAACTTGCAAAGTTTTTTGCCTATTTTTTCAGGTTGAAGGAATGCAGAAACCTGCATACGGAGGATTGTGGAGAAAAGAAAAAGGAAGCAAGCTTCATTCACACAGCTTTTTTTTTTTTTTTAAACACAGTACAAATCTCCTACTCTAGCCAGATTCCATGCACCAATTCGAAAATGAAACAAAACAAACAAAATCTGACAACAGCAACCAAAAAACAAAAGCAGAACACATATCCAGAATCAACAGCAAACAGGACAAACATGGCAAACTTGTCACCTCTAATGAAAATAAGCTAGTATTTTGGAGGAGGCAGAACACACCTGTACCGCCCTCAATAGCTGCCCTTCTTCATCTACACCAAACGTTACCTGTATTGAAAGGCTTTGTTACAAGATTCTCAAGTAATAATTAATGTAAGGTTGTCTTTCATCTTAAAATCATTAATTCTTTTTTATATATGTGCAACTTAACAGATAAAAGAACTATGAGTAATGCACCAAGCCTGAAGGAGTTTCAGTAAGAGATCATTTGTGTCATTTAGTGAAAATAAGGCTTACAAATTATCATACATAGTAACTTGTTAGTTGGGCAATAATGAAAAATAGCTTTTCTTATAAATATTTACTTTACTGTTCCTTTCGGTGTCTTCACTGAATAATTTTACAATATAAATATATACCAAATTAATATCTGGCATTTAGATTGTATATATAAAAAGAAATATTATTATTTCTATACATTTACACAGTTTTTCTATAAACGTGTGTGTGTGTGTTATTTAAAAAAAATAATAATACACATACACTCTTATATAAAAGAAACTTGAGGGATGTAAGAAGAGGGAAACTTATGCCAGTAGTAACAAAATCTAATTCTGGACCTTCTGACAAAGAATAATGAAAATGATGGTGCCTATTATTATGTTTCTAAACCAAATAGCAATGCTTACTTTCAAACAAGTGACTTTTCTCCATGTGATGACTTTTACTGAACAGAAGTGACAGGCTTCAACTTCAGAGCATAATATAGTATGTGTACACCCTCTGCCAACATAATGATGAAGTATAAAGTAGCCTTTAGCTGTAAATTGATGTTTTTGCCTTACCGTGAGCTATGACTGTAAGAATATAAACAGAGAATAAAATGATTCTAATATACCATCAGGTTTTACATAACTACAAAAGCTCACCTGAAGAGCCTCCATTCTTCCTTGAAGCTGCAATCTATCTTCCAAATCCTGACAACGCTCTTCTAAGAAAAGAATTTGTTCCTGCAGTTGATTTCTTTCCAATTCCAACTCTTCGACCACACTCCGTAAACCTACTTAATTCAAAAAAGAATTATTTCAAGAAATGTCTACTAAAATTCCTGAAGTCTAGAAACGTTTTCAGCTTTCTATTCACGGTTCTCACCAGCATTGGGCACAATCAGATCTCAGTGGAAATGCCTGAGGCCTTGCAATTCCAAAAATCAGATGGCAAAATTACCCTTAACTGTTGAAAAGCCAAAACGAAGTTGCATAGCTCAAGAACTCAGAGAACCTGGCAGAAATATTTTAAACAATATTGTGGCTCAATCAATAGTGAGGATCTGTTACTTTAAATCACATTAATCATGTACATGCAGGATCAGATCTTAAGGACTCATTAATAAACAAAGTAAACTGGTCTGTATCAAAATTTGCGAGTCTATTCCATTTTAACAATGAGATCTATTTGCAGCCTTTACCACTGATATAAAAACATTTGCATTAAAAATACAAGAATTTGATTTTTAAATTAGAAGCATAAAGCAATGGAATGTAATTCTGTTTTGCAACAGAACAGTTATATAGGTTGGAAACACATTCACAGGAACAAGACTCATAACTTAAAAGACACATGATCCTGCCACAAAGGATATTTCGTGGGCACCAAGGCTCAACCAATACCAGTGTTTAGTCATGTTTATATTCTACTTCTGAACCAAAACTAGGCAGTTCATCCAGCACGCACATGCTTTAAAATGAAAAGGAAGAAAACGCAAGCCAAAAAAATTCAACAAAGATTAGAATACACCACAAATGGGTTGTTAGTTGAATTTGAAAACAAAAATAGACACAAAATACAGATGCTGTGCATGCTTTAATAAACTGTCTAGTCGCTATCACACCTGCATTAGGTGAAGTGTACTCTGGCCACCAACCTCCCATATTTTCTCCTTCAGCTGAATCAGTGCTATCCAAGGTGACGTTCAATTCTTGAAAGCCTTGTTTTCTATCAAAACTGTATTCCTCCTATGCACAAAACATGAGAATGAAGTTTAATTTAAAGAAGAAAGCAAGGGTAAAATACATATTCTGTTATTAAAAGCATAGTTTCAATTAAAAGTCCTAAAACTCAGCGTGATTCAGGTGCCTAAATGTAAGTATGTGGGATCACTGTGGTCACTACAGTAACCTGCCCAGCTGCCAGCTATTATTTCCAGAAAAGCCAAGTCTCTTGCAGGTTTTATGTGGTATCTGCCAGGCCTTTGAAGACACCCTCAGGAATCCAAAAAGCCAATGGATAACTGTGTTTGGATACCTTAATCGGTCCCCTGATTCCTACAGTTAATAGGGTCCTCTGAATCTCAGGGGACAGTATCAGAGTTAACTAAACATAAAATTATTCTTCCAGTGATATGTTAATGTGACAATGGTGCCCTAACTCTTCTTACAAAAGGTTACCATTTTTTCGTGCATGTTACTGCACGAACTACCTAAAAGTACACCTGAATGAACTGACACTGCGTACTATATTATTCAGGAAAGCTCCAAAGAGATTTGTAAAGACTGTATCTAAACCAAAAATGGCTTAGCATATTAAGCATGCACATAGCTTCAAGCATGAGAATTACTCTAGAGGGCAGCTCGTTATTTTTCAATGTAAAATTAAGTAGACTCATTACTCAAGGAATAGAGAGGTGTGATGCCATCGGAATTTCTCTTCTTCTGGCTACATATGCGATCATTAAATTCACCAGTTTTCACTACATAACTAGTCTAGGTTCTTAAACCCTTAATATATTTAACTGTAAAGCACCATGTAAATAATAGTACTTTCCATATTTCTATTAACATACAGGTAAAAATAAACTCATTTTAACCCACCTGAAGCTTCCTGCTGGTCTGATTGCTTTTTCTTCTCGCCTGCTGCAGCCTGCCCACTCCTTGAACTGTGGCCAGTTCCTCCTCCAGCTCCTGTTGCCCTGAGACCATGGCTGGATCAGAGCAGCCAGGAAAGAACCAGTCATCCTCAATCAGTTTTGTGCCACAGGAAAGCAATTACATTTATATAAGACACTACTACATGAAAAGAGACCAGGGACAGGCTGAAGTCCCTATGAATGACTGACGGGAACAAGATTAAAGAAGCAGTCCATTGCGTTCACCTTGTGATTTCCCTCCGACATTACTACGTAGAACATAAGAATAATGGCTGCATATCTCACTAAGAAGCAGCAAACTGAAGTCTAACTTTACTTCATCAGCTCTAAACAAAACTTTATACAGCAGACTGGAAAGGGTGAGGTTATGCTGATACTAAAAAAAAAGGCCAACCAATTAAAATGCCAAATTACATCTTATTTCAATTTACCAGGTTAAAATATACCTAATTTGTATGATAAAGGCATCAGCTGAGACAGCTGTAGTTTTTATAATCTGAACAATCACATTCATTTTTATGGAAATGACACGTGTCCCTTTCAACTTTAATTTTAGTATGAGCTACAAAGTCAGATAATTTGAGGAAGTCACAAGCACGTTGTTACACTGCAAACTGGCATCAAACCATCTTATCATAAATTAATAATACCATTCTTTTTAAGACAAATACAGAATCACTTGTAAATAAACACACTGAATAAATTCAGAACATGAAAGCTTAGGTACGCATCGTGTTCATTGTTAGAAATGATTTTCTCATTTAAAGTACATTCCCATCTGTTTTGTGATATGACAAAACATGTTTGGGGTAACATTAGGAAACAGATGTTTCATGCAAAGCAGACAGAACAGCCAGTGAAAAGAAATGAAAGTAAAGGTGGCTCCATACTTTAATTGAAAATTGGATTAATTAGATAATTACAAATTTAGCTTTCAATTTCACCACATCACTCCACAGTTGTCCTCACAGCATGCAAAATTCAGAGAACTTATGTCGATGTATCTGTGAGGTAAACACCAGAAACTATTAGGAGATTCAGCCCTACTGGGAATACTCAGCTTTCATCCGAGTTGTCCAGGGATAACTTATATCACAAATTTCATTAACACACAATTCTGTAACACCTACTAGATTTAAGTTCTTCCTGTAATATTTCAAAATTACACATTAACATGTTGTCAGAAAAGATTAGCAGAAAAAAAATTAAGGAAAAAATTAAGCACCCTTTTAGAGTAAGACTGCTACACTGGATTTTAATTTTGGTTTCAATTACACTTTGGCTTCTGGCACTGTCACTTTATCAGCATTCATTTTACACACCTTTGTTTATTTTGAAGTATAGACTCTACTTTTTTTTTTTTTTTAATCATTATACACACTTTTTCGAAGCCATAAAAAATAATGCCAAATTTTGATCACATGCCTTAAACCTCTGTTTACAAGAGCTGTCATTGAAATCAGTCAAGTGATTCGAGGAGTAAGCATTATTTCAGATAAGAACTTAACCCCTTCTTTGGATTGGGAAAAAAAAAAAAATATTCAATTTCTTGGAAGCTGAAATGGAGGTAATCTTTTTTTAATTATAATCTGAATGAATAACACCACACTGTCCTTTAGGAACCCAAAATATTTAGGCTCCTAAGTATATGATAATGAAAAAGAAGAAAGAAATTACTGTTGTCACATGAAAAATGAAAGTATAGAAATCAGAGCTTTAGAATGATTTAGAACACTTAGGCAAGTGTTAAAACACTTTCAGTTAAATTCAGCATTGCTTTAACAACGATTAGTAAGTAAATACATTTTCTAATGTTTTACAGCAGCTTAGGCAGCTTTTCATTTGCAATTATGTCTAATATAAAACTGAAAAACTTCCCAGAATACTTTTCTTCAGATACACGCTGCATTTAAATTAATTAATGATGTGTTTCTATTTCCTTGCATCACTATTCACACTAAATATCACAATCTTTACTGGTTTGCAGAGGACACAAGCCCGAGTCTATAAATGTAATCAGTAACTCCATGCTTTTGCGGATCTCCACATCTTCAACTCAAGAGAGACAACTGCCACGTATAAAAAATTGCCATAGACTATGACAGAATGAGTAGTGGGTTTATATATTGCTTAAAATACTGGTAGCTAATATCAATATATGCAAAAGTTCTGCAATTTATGGGATTGAATATACTTGTGGGGTTTTTTGAAAGAATACTACTGAATTTGGAGTACCACTAAGAATATTTAAATGAATTTGATTCTTACTTAGTGACAACCACTTGCAGCACTTTTCTCTAGATAAGATTACAACATAAATATGGAGTCAGCTGTTACTAGAAAGAAAAATGAAGAAAGATGTTTTGGTTAATATAAATGAAGAAACAGGTACTGCAATGCAGAAAAAAAAAATCAAGTTAAAACCAGCATTTGTTACAGGTATTGCTAGACACCACATACTATCAACGGCAAATCTTCTAAGGTACTGTTGACAATTTCCTCAAAAGCAGCAACAACAGAAGAAATCAGCAACAGTACATTACAAGTTGCCATTGCTGCAGGAACCTGCATGCACAAAACTGATGGGAAACTATGTTCTCACTGGCTGACCAAATCGCAGTGTAGGGTAGGAGTGGAGGGGGAAGGGACGCTGAGTGCTCATCAGGTGTAACGGCAGGAAAAAAGAAACAGAAAGGTCATGCTTAGACCAAGGGGAAAAAAAAAAAAGCAAAATTAAACAGACTGATGCAGATGAAATTTTATAACTGTTATTAATATTGCATGTGGATCTGTAGTTACCACAGATGAGATAACAGGTAGTTTTAATGAAGGGAATATTACTGTCTTTCAATTCCCAAGCATTACATGCGTAAATTGCTCAAAAAGAAGAGACGTGATCTTTCAAACATTTCTACGCTTACATACTGAACTTCCAAATTGATCATGTAAATGAAAAATAATTCTATCGCAGATTAAAAAGAGAAGGCTCAAGTTAACTAACTGGATTAATTATGATGGTAGGTTGTGCACATGAAAATTTGCCATTAATCGCCACACGGTTAACTAACAGAACAAAAATTATAATAATGTACTAGATGGCATGGAAAAAACCAGTAAACTTAACCAGCTGAGATTACTTGAAATGTTATTTTCTGTAGGTAGTTTAATCTTTTTAACTAGCTCCAAATGATTGCCAGTTAATGTTATTCAGCTGACCTATACAAGTGACACTTACTAAGACTACTAAATATTCCAAGAAAGGTTTCTCACTAATTATATTTAAAGAGAAACTCTGTCTCAGGTATATTTTACTAAAGCACCACCTTCATTCATCAAATTCTAACCAACACTATAGTTTCCCCACACCTTCACTGCTTGTTTGAGGCAGGTAGCTTTAATATTTCAATGGTGAACTTTTGATCATTGATCATTCATACGCAGACAATAAGCTTTTGAAGTAAACTCAAGCAGTCTTACAGAGCAGCAACTCAGATGGCAAACAGAACAAGCACATCTAGTCATAAAAATGATACCAAAAAAAAAAAAAAAAAGAATGTATGAAAAGCAGCTTCATGAAAACAGGAAAAAGTAGAAATTGCAAATTTAAGCAATTTCACTCGCTATACAAATCTTATGACTACAGAAGTGAGTCATGGTGGTGTGCTATTACATATATATATAATGTATAAATATGATAATTTTATCGTAAATGAAACAATTCACCTTCTCTCTCCTCCTCAATCTGAGCCATTCTCAAGGCCATAGCAGATTTCTCTTCTCTGACTTGATCGTGGGACTCCTCTGACTCTGGTACATTTTCTTGCCACTCCAAAAGCTGACTCTGCAATTCATCCACACTACCTGATTCGCTGGCCTAACAAAAGAAATTGCACGTGAAAATATATTTACCAAATCCCACTGCAAATGTAAATAACATTTTAAGTTGGCAAACCATTCCGACCAAGCCTCACCACTTCATAAAATATAAAAAATGCTACTGCTAGTTGCACTTTTAATCTGAAACATTTTTAAACAAAAAAAATGGCCTTTTTAATCAAAATATTTTTGTTGCGCATTTTCATCTTGGCAATGTTTCAAAGTAAAACAATATTCAACTGTCTTTACATGGGATAACAAATCTCTGTCACATTTTTTTCCCCATGAATAGAATAAAAATGTTTCTGCCTTTCCATCAAACTAAAAGACATTTTAAGATTTTACAAAAAAAAAAATTCTCCACAAAATCTGGAAAAAATTACTCTTTTTTAGCAAAATACAATTAACTGTTTCAAACTGGCTCTGCTGCCAGGGCTGCACAAAGTTACCATGATTAATGTACACTGTTAATCCATCTCAAGCCCTTTAGCAATGTTCTCTGAGTCTTCTCATTTTCTTATCTAGCCCTGTATATTTGTCAAGGTTACAGCTATTTTTTCCTTCTGAAACCTAACCATATTGTAGACAAAAGACACTCGATGACACTTTGCTGACGCATGATAAATGTAGCTAAATAAAGAGTAAACTGTTTAGAAAAATGTGATTTAAGGTACATGGAAAAGTAAGTAGAAATCAATCTTTTTAAGTAATTCAAAACCTGTCCAGCTTGTTATCCAACTGAACAGCTACTGACACTGACAACTCCATATATCACTAAATTAATTTTCAGCTCCAAAATCCAGATAACACACTTTTAAAAGTCTAATTAGCACTGAGTTAATCAGTAACTCATACAAATCCATTTTAAAGTTAACCTGTGAAGCTGCCCTCTTTGTAACTTGGTCAAGATCAGCTTGCAACTTCCTTTGCTGCTCTTCATAGACTTCCAGCTTAGTCAGCAATTCTTCTACAAAAACACAATAAATTTGGTTCATTAGGACCCAAAACTAATAGGAAGATCAATTAAAAAATTAAAAGAAAGATTCAAAATGAAAATTCAGGTAAGTCACTTCAGTGAAAGACCTCTATTGGGCTGTATTGTCCATCTACCCATGAAACTGACTTCTTGATTATTAAATATTGATTAAATATAAACTGCTAACAATTTAGACTAATGAACTGAAAATCCTACAGTTTTCCATTTACAGAAAGAATGTCAGAGAAAATAACACAAGGTGAAGCAGAAAAACTTCTCACAGAGCTCTACTTTAAACTATCTGAGGTTTTAAGCAAAAATTCTCTCTCAAATCCCTATAAAAGAAAGATATTTGAGATAACTCTTAATTTACTTGAAACTCACTGCTCTCAAAAGTTTATTCTGTGTACTCTGATAAATCTTCCAAATATGTTTCTTCTCATTTTCCCTCTTAAGAAGATGCCTCTTCCACTTCCTGGAAAAGTTTATACATATTCTGCCTAAGCCTAAAATGCAACAAGAATTATGCATAGGTAGATTTTGGGAAAGAAAGGCTGAGCCGTAACTCTGACTTAAATACTGTAAGCTATTGTTCAAAGTTGCAAGAAGTTACTTCAGAATCTGTTTTTTTTAAAAAGATACATTTTGAAAATGAAAAAGTTCGTTTATCTTTGTCTCTTTGAATCATCTGCAAGAGAAAAACATATTTTTTTTTACCATTTTGAGTTCTGATTTCATGTAACGATTGCAGTTTTGACTGTAGTTCTTCATTTTCAATTTCTAATTCTGAGACACGATTGTTTAAGGCAGATACATCACTATTCTTTGATGAAAACTAAAAGAGAAAATAGACATGGGTTTTTCAAATGCAATTAAACACTGGAAACACAGCAAAGTCAATGCAACTTTTTTTTTTTTCTGATTTTATAGTAATATTTAGAAAAGCTGTTTTTCTAATACTTGAAAGTGCAATAAATTAGCTAATGTCTAACAAATTTACTCCTGAATGCTGGTAACACCAGTTTGTACTTTATTTTGTTGAAACTTCATCCTGTATCAACATTTTATGTCCATTCAATTTTTATGCATTAATTCATATATAAAGATATTTTGAGTAAATTATTTTAATATTCTATTTACCCCATATTTTACTTTTTTCAGTCAAATCTCCAAGCACAGTAGTTTAAAACTGGCATGGAATATTAAGCATAATGTTGCACATACATTTTTTAGTTCATCCTCCAGTTGCTTGATTCTTGATTTAGACCAAGCCTTCATTTTCAGAAACTTTGCTTCAGATTTGCTGGCCTCTTCCGTTTTCATTTTCACTTGTACTAAGAAACAAGACATAAAAAATTATTTAAAACCATAGAAAGATTATTAATACAAGACCAATGTTTTAATTCCTTTAGCAATTGGAAGTTAGACACTTATGCAAGACAACTTGCATAATTTACAGAAAAACATAACAATAAGAAATGTAGTGAGAAATGTATAGTTCACGTGATTACCTTGGTATTCCTATAACCTTCGTTCTTACAGTATTTGATCATAGATACTTTTTAATTAGTGCGGCAATAACTCTTCCACCAAATTTAATGTACTTCTACTCGCAAGAGGTATGAAATCGGCATACAATACATAACAGTATGGGGCAAAGGAACCTTTCATGTGTCACAAGTGTTTAAACAGGTTACCTTCTAAGTCTTCCACCTTCTCTCTGGCTATAGACTCCAGATCTCTAACTTCTTTTGAGTTAGTCTGTCCACTACTACTTAACTCTGCCACTTGTTTCTTAAGCTGAAACAGGGCCTGATCTTTCTCTTGCAGCTCGGTTTCATGTTTCTCTTGAATTTCATGCAGTTCAGCATTGTATTTCTCCCTAACTTTTGTCATTTCAAGCTCATGTTTCTCCATCATGTCTCTTAACTGGGCTCTCATTACATGTTTCTCAGCATCCAGTTTAGACTGGAGGTTTTCTTTTTCAGACAGAAGACGTTTCAGGTTTTCATTATTCTCCTGGGGGGGGAGAAAAAAAAAACAAACAAAAAAAACAAACCACACTTTATATTTTCAGTATCACTGTCAAATATAGTATCTGTATTCCTACATAGTTCTCCACATTATAATCAGAAATCAGTGCTACTGTTGGTAACCTGGCTCTACTACAAAAGCTACTCAGCTCTGACTTTCCAAGACTGAAGCAGGGACTTGAGCAAAACGACATCACTTTTTGAGTGAAAACTACATGCAACCTCCCCCATAGGTGAAAATGAAATAAAAAAGAATGTAAAAAAAACCAAAACCAAAAAAAAACCCACACCAAACAAACCAGAAGCAGATCTCTAACAGCAATCCCAAAGATTAAGACTGCTCACTACAATGTCACCCAGGTGGTGTCTCCTACATCTATTAAAATTTAAGTTGGCAATTGATCTACTTGTTCTTTACAATATTTTGTTGCTAACTGGTTTTCTGTTAGTGCTTATTCTACTTTTAGTGCCTTTACATTCATTTTTTACCTCTTTATGTATTAAAATAAGATTACAGATCACTGTAACAGAGCAGTCCACTCACATTAGACCTGCTGTTCAAAAAACTACGTTCATGATACATAAACCTAGGAATATAAACTGTCCAAGTAAAGCTGGCAGAACAGAGGGAACACTTCCAAAATATGTTTAAAATTGCTTATGTAAATAAAGCAAGGCTTCCTGTTATTTTAATACTAAAGCTGAGATTCCACTAAAGTTTAAAGTGCTTTAAGTTCATGTTGCCATAGTCAGACTTTCTCCTGATGCTCAAGGTGTGCATTTCTGTCCCCTCAACGCGCTAGCACCAGGTACCATCAGTTCTCGCAGAGCACCAGTGTAGGAAGATGCATCTAACACAAAAAAAACCCAACCCACCCAAAACACAACAAAACCCTGCATAAAGCAGGAGGCATTACCAATGGGAAGGAGAAATGAAACAGGCTTAAACTACTATGGATCTTAAGTACCTGAGCAGGACATCTACATGGGTGCACAGTTGAAACCATTTCTAGTAAGATTCTGATTCTGGCAGCCCTCTTGGTAAGTAGAAAAGTTGTTGGAAATAGTATCGCTAAAATGCTGGACCTGGCACCCCAGAATGGAGATAACGTGTCTGTTTCAGCAAAGAATCCCAAGAGTGTGAGAGACTGCAACATCGTTTTTCTACATTGCTGAACTGAAGGAGCAGCACTCAGACTGTAATCAAAGTTCATGCTAGGTACTTAAACACAAAGAACCTCGATTAGGTATTGGGTTTGCAATCAGTAGAAATACAGCAAAAGGAAAGGCACACTATTAGCAAAACTCTCTTTGAGGAGAAAAAAAAAGTCTCGGTTTTGGGGCTCACTGCAGTCTCTAACTAGAAGCTGGAATCTTTTGACAGCAAAAAGTCTTCCCTACTTCACAAGTTCCCAAAATGAATCAAGACAAACAATGGGTGAGAGTTGACAGTTTTCTATCATAAGAGCTTTACCTCTCTTTTAAGTTAACCTCCTAACTGGAATTATTATTTATTTGCACAGCTACAATTGCATTATTAGCATGTGTCAAAGCCTCCCAAAGAATTGCCTAAATATTTTACTCAAAACTATCTTTTGTGCACAACCAAACAAATTTTTGAACTTGTAATTGACCTGATGAGTTTAGTTGTGCACATATGCTATTTCTTACTTTCAATTGTTGGTCCTTGGCATCCAGTTCTTTTTGCAAGACATCTATCACCTGTGTCCTTCCCAACATGACTTCTTCCTTTTCATGGAGCTTCTGTTTCAAGGCCTTTAATAGCTAGGAAAAAAAAAAAAACCAAAACAAAAAACCAACCAATCAATAAAGGAGTTAAAACTTTCAGAAGAGAAAGAAAAAGACTCATCTTTATTTTCCCAACCAGATATCTGAACTGTGCTGCAGAGGTTAGTAATTACATGATTCCAAATTCCCATGGCTAACTAAATCAAAGCAAGCTATTAAGTTTCCAAAGCAGCATACCTGTTCTAGGTCAGCACTCGCATCAGATTTAGCAGCTAATTTAAAGAGCTCCTGCTCATGCTTTTCTCTCTGCGCTTCCAGTTCCTTTTCCTTTTCCTGGATAATATTTTGAAACACACGTACCTAAAACCACATAGAAAGGAAATATGAAACCAGCTCACAAAGGTATAGAAAAGGTACAATGAATTCTCTAACTGAAGGTACAGCAAGACAATGTATTCTATCTTACGTCTCAATCCTGTTTCCACTTAACAGCAAATATAGTAATCAGTCAGTGATTAATGATGTCAGTGGTGCATGCAGATAAACATCCAACTTACATGAAATTTCTCTTCATTCCACAACAACATACTTTAAATGAGAAGCACGGTACCATTCATTTTTGTTTAATATCACAGACCTTCACCTTTCTTTTTTGGATGCCATTGTTCTGAGACTTCCAACTTCTAAAAGATTAGACTGATCATGTTCATCTCTAACAAGTGTCTATGAATTAAGTCCAAACGGCAGCTTTGAAACCTAGCTGCCGCCTCCTCAAAAACTTGTATTCTACTTATAACATGTCTTTGTTAGCTATCTTACAATGTTTATAAGAACTGGATATAATATTTGGAATCTTGCTAATGTTATTTTGAATAAATTCACATAAAGACCTACCCAGATTTATATTTGAGTGACGACACTGTAATCACCAAAATGGCTTTTACAGTCTCAACTATCTGGTTTCTTTCTTTCTTTCCTGTATCAAAACTAACTCCCTGTGTGCTACTGAACAGGTACAGTCATTTTCAGGATCAACAGTGCTACTTTTGCCACAAATAAAATACACTTAGATAACATATGATGTGGGAAATACTGAGATGAATAGTTTCATACATGGTAGAACTCAAAACACTGAGGGGCAAGGCACACCACATTAAAATTTGGAATTTAGCTTCCAGAGGAGCTGGAAGAGCCTGGTAATATCAAGGAACAGCTAACATGCTCCCTAGTTCTGCTTTGTTGCTTTTTCTTTCTTTTTTCCCCCCCAAGTATTATTTAAGAAGTTGTTGCTGTTTTTTGTCTTGGCCTGTTAATCAGCTGCTAACTTCTAGAAAAGTTTCCCATTAAGTATACCAAACTTCTTCAGCTATTTTTCAGCTATATTTCATCTGACCACCACATAGATCTTTACTCAAGAATCATCCAAAATTTAAAATGGCATTTCTTACCTATTGACATAGAAACACCACAGCTAAGATCCAACTTCTTCCACCAAACAATGCAAGTATTTTTACAGTGTGTTTACTTACATTTTCCATATATGTAGCTTCTTTTCCTTGGAAATGCTCTCTTTCCTTGCTCTGAATACTTTTAAGACTCTCAATCTGTTCCTGGAACAAGCTACATTTTTCTTCACTGTCTCCAACTTTTTTGGTAAGGTTCTGAACTAGAATCTGCATGCTTTGTAGCGATGACTCTTTAACAGCCAGCTGATTCTTCAGAATGCAAATCACAAAAGATAATTAGAAGAATGGACCCAGAAAAAAGATCAAGAAACCATCATGAAGCCATCTCCTAGCCCCTCCCTCAGTTAAAGCAACATTAAACTCAAAATTCAGGTTTGGTCTTAATTTGAATGAAATTTGTCAGCGGATTCTGAAGTCGATACTAATAAGTATAAATGGTACCAACAAAAGAAGTAAATAAATATAAATCTACTAACATAAATGAAAATAACCAGTAAAGAATTTTTATTCACATGAATAACTGCAGAGGATTTGTGCTTCAGAGAAGGATCCACTGTATAACGCATCAGAATTTGTTGATTCCTTGAAACCTCTATGGAGATTTTATATTTGAGCTGCTAATATACCTTCAAATCTTCATTGGGCAAGAGCATTTCACTGGCCACAGCACTTGATCCACACGCTATTTGTAAATCGATGATATAAGCATCTCTTTCAGCTAACTTCTTTTCTTTCTCTGCCAGCATGGCATCCATTTCAGCCCCACGACACTGCTGGGCCTCCAGTTCAACACTCTGGAAATGAAGACAGTATTGCTTGTAATCTATACTTCAACCATCTACAGTACAGAATAGTTTGCATTATTTCCTTGTTGCCTGTATTAGGGTACTGAAAAAATTACAATCAAATTTATAACCTGTTTAAATTTAAAGTGTAATGTTTAATTACTGCACCTTTCTCTGAAATTCTGCAGCATTCACATTCCTGCCACTTTCCACAGTGAACAGTCACATCCACAAAACACATCACTGCACAGAACAGCTACAAACCGTAACACACAATCATTCCTTGCCTACATTTCTTCCTGTTATGACTTATTTTTGCAACAAGAAAAATTGAAGCAAAACGGCATTTTTGTCCAAAATACAAAATGTAAATATAACATTAACCCACAAAGTTCATACTTGTTCATCCTATTGCATTCATTTCCAAACAACTACAAAAACATGCTTAAGGATTTACTGCTCACTGAAGACACAGTGACAGAATTCTCGCTGGGTTTGCTCAGGCAGGTTGTAGCATATAAACTTCTCTGTCTACTCAACAGAAAACTCTCAGATTATCTGTTTAGTAATGTAACATGTAATTAAATACATAAATATATTTAAATAAGTATATTTACACACAATCCTATACCACAAATGTGAAAAGCCACGCATTTGGCATCATACAAAAAACCACCACCTTTTTTTGTAACTCTTCATTTTTTTGTGCGATCTGGGATTCTAGTTCCTCAATTCTCCTTCTCAGCACCAATATTTTCCCACGATTTGCCGCAGCATTTTCCTGGTCACCATCTTTTGATGCCTGCAAAAACAGGGAGTTCTGCATTCCATAAACAGGTAACACCTGACTTCCATACCTCTACCTATTCAGATAACACTGGTGAGAAAAAGCAGACTTTAGTCATGGTTTGTGTTTCAGTTCTCTCACATACCACATATTCCACGTAGAAGCTACACAAAGCAGGCACAGAATTTCTATCAAGCTTGTAAAAATCTTTGTATTGAAATTATTAATGATAATTATTGCTGCAAAGTGGAGTGGAATGTGTAATAAAGGCATTCATTTCCTCTGGCAATTGTAACCCATGTAAATCTGGCAAACACAGTCCATATAACTCAGAAGGGAAAAACGGACTATTGGGGTGGAAGTGTAAATCAAACTGCTCCTAAGCGTAATGTTTCCAATCAGAATTTCAGTAGGCATGACTACTGGCTTATAGAAATTATTTGCCATTACAAAAGAAATCAAGTGCAATTGCTAGAGAATATGCTTTACTAGCAAAATAGATCAGAAGCATAAATAATTAGCTACGGCGTGTCTTTGAGGACACCTCAGGACTTCAAACTGATCTGTTTCTGTTCCCTGTCAGCACAGTTTTAAAAAACAAATGCCCTAGAAATATTAAAGCCTCATTGAAGTTATTTTAGAAGCTGTATGAAGTCAAAATACGCTATTTTGAAGAAATACACATCTACTCGCACAACTGAGCTACTACAAACAAATCTGAGAATCTTTGTTAACAGTAAAACACGGGTCACTTAAATGAGAAATTCCTACACTTGATTTACATTTTGCTACCAAGAACATTTTTATATTTCCATTTTCATCTTGGACATTAAAATTACAAATTAGGTTTTGTTTTCATTTCTTCTTAGAAACTTAACTTCTTGATTCACACGTGTTAAAATTTTGAGCTGTTAATAAAATGATGATTGCTAAGAAATCGTTTAATAAACAATTTAAAAGGAATGTACAATTTTCTACATTTCTATAGAAAGATAAAAGAAGAATTAAATAGAAATACACAGCTGGAGTGACAGCACCTGCACAGTCTATCTTGATCCTAATCTCACTCAGCTCAAAATCTGAACTTCAGTTCCAATTTTGACTCCAGTATATAAAACTGTCTACAGCCTTACTTACGCCTGCTTTAAAATGTAAGGACAATTACCTTTTTTTGTTCTGCTTTTGCCTCTAAGCCTCCTGATGCTGATAACTGTTTCTTAAGTTCTTCCAATTGTGAGGTTAATGATGCAACCTTGGCTTTGTTTTGCAGCTTCAACTTGGAAAGTTTGGCATCAGCAGATTCCTTCTCCTCCTACAAACATCAGTCATGAAGGACTAAATTAGCTACATGAACAACTGCATCCTTCAATTCTTCCATTAAAAAAAAAAAAAAAAAAAGAGAGGGAGAAATCTAAAGTGATTACCAAAAAAAAAAAAATCTTTCCTCTGAAGAGACATAACAACAGCTGACATTCCTTTTATTATTTAAACTTTTTTGTTACTATTGTATATAATCCAGGGCATTATGATGTTAGAAATATTCCTAGTTTTTGACAGCAATACAAATTCAGGGCTTGGTTTGATTTCATTTTGTTTAAAAAGACAACTTAATTTACAACGAGTTCTAGAAAATTCAATATTTTAACACTTGGCAGTTAGTGTCCACAGACAACATTTTTTAAAAGTGTAAAAACAGTCTCTTGCAGGAACAGAGCAATCTTATGACTGTTTAAAAAAACCCAACAGAGTAAGAATAACAAACCCTCAAAAGTCTTCAGGATATTAGATATAAATTCTTTCTAGTTCCATCTTTCCTAATGCCAGTCAAAAGCAAAGGATAGCATATGGTAGCATTAATAGTAAGATCATTATACAACAAAAAGACACAGATAGTGGAAGGAGAAATAAAAAGTTACCTACAGAAATTCAGTTTGAGGTAAGCAGGCATCTCGCTAAATGACCAGCAATAATTTGGATGTGTTTGTCCCCACATTTAGCCTCGCACGACCGTGCACCTCTAGCGCTCAGAAAGTCAGCCTGTCCCTTGCAACTATTAAGCACATCTGCTCATGCAGGGAACTCCCGTTGGTTGTGTAATATGCAAACCCAGAACAGAAAAACACTGGCAAAAAAACCGGTAAGGTCCAGGAACCGAAACAGCTAATTGTGACCAACGCTTCCTGTGTTCCTAGAGTTGCTGTAACTGAATATAAGCCTGTACCTATGAAAACAGCTCATGAAACAAGACTGAAGGGGTTTTTTAAAAATCTTTTTGACAAGAACACACGCACAGTACCTTTAACTGAAGATCTTTATTTCGAAGCTCGGCATCCTTCTCCCTGACAAGCTCCTTTAGCTGTGTTACCAGCTGTTCAGTGCTTGTCAGCTGTTCAGTCAAATCTGTCACCGACATGCTTCTTGCATCTTGCGAGCCTGCGGCCTGCAGACATTAAGTATACTTTGAACAAAGAAAATGGTGCAGACAATACCACTTCAGCAAAAAGTCCTCAGTTGTTGTTTGTTTGAGGTTTTTTAAAACATTCAGCAAATCTTAATAGAGTGCAATACTTAAACATACATATACTATATGCACCTACACCAGACTGGTTTTAGCAAGTTTAATAGACACATGAAATTATAAATCTTAGAAATTGGTTTAGGAATATTAGTTTTAAATAACAGCAAAACAATCAAAGCATCCTAGGTATCCAAAACTGAATTTCCTCATTTACTGGTTTTGCATTGTTAACAACCAGTAGCAGTATCACTGAAGCTAGTGGCAATAAAATATTGATATCGAACATACTATACACAAAAAATACACTTGAGATAAAGTTTATGTAAGTCCTACAGATGTTTTGTTAAAGGAAGATAAGCACAGTGAAGAGGAATAGAGCCTCTCTGTGTTATGCACGAGAGGTTAAATACTAAGTAGATGGGAAACAAGAACTCAGGCTGACTTTGAGAGTCCTAAAACTAAGTCATGGTAAAACCAGTCAAGCAACTTATTTACAAAAGAGCAAATACATTCGATTAGTATATTGCCAATTAAAGATTCTCTAAGTCAGAAATTCTTCAGAAAATATTATTTAATAGTAATTCAATACTTACTGCTGTTTTGGAAGGAGAATCATCTCCACTACCCCATTTCCACATAGTTTCACAATGGCTATGAAAAAATAAATGAAATAATACCACAGTAAGTATCAGTACTGCCTCTCAGATAACTGTAATTAACTCGTACTTCTCTCTACATATTTCACTGAAAAATGCTTGAAACTAATTTGTTCAACTCTGACAGCACCTCTGATCAGCACCACATTACTAGTTGTTGAGAAATAATGAAATTATGTATATAATGTGCCTTTTCTAAAAACTGCTAGTCAGTAAAGTGTCAATACTATCAAAAATAATCCAAAGAAGTCTTTAAGACTTCATGGCATTTACTCTTTACTTACCATAGTTGCTTCTTCCACATATAAACAGAAGATACAAACCACATATAGTTTACTAATATTTAACCTGACCTTAAACCCTGCCTGCCACTGCAATACAACAGGAATTGTATCAATGCATATTTCTATAAAACCATACATAAAGACTAAAAACATTAAAGAACACCAAACTGCATTAATTGCTGTGTGACTGCTGCATATCTGAAAAATACCACGAGTGTTGCAACCCTTGAGGTCACTGATCAGCACATCAAATGCCTGCATCTGAAACCCCAGGAAGAGCAAGCGTTCCTTGCTTCTTTTGCTCACGATCAAGTACCACAAATTTCTAAAGTACTAAACATATGCATAATTGCGGTTTCTGATCATGGAAAGCTGTAGCTTCTTAATAAATACAAGTATAGGCCACAAGATGGTTTTAAAAAGAAAAATCCTGAAGACAGAGTAGGTTCAGGGCAGCTCAAAGGTTAAGACTTTTACTGAATAATAATGACAAACTTGGTTGAGGAAAAAAAATGGGCAAAGTCTATGAAATAGCCCATGCAGTAAATTCCAAATTGTGTCTTGGAGATATAATCTTAAGAGCAGACTAAAATATCTTGCTCGGCCTCTGGATAATATTCCAAATAGCAGCAAGAAGTGAAAAGAGCAGCTGTACCTGTTCGGTAATTTTCACTCTCAACTGGCGACATCCAGAGGAAAATAATCTGTCCTTTCTAAGCTGTATTACAAGCTTATGAAATATGCACACAAAGATCAGTCCTGAATTTGGAAAACAGTTCACAGTAAACATTAGCACATAGCTTATCTTAAAGTACTTAATTTGGAAAGCAGTTTATTACAAACATTAGCACATAGCTTATCTTAAAAAGTATGCAGAATGATTGCAGAGGCTGCTTTTAAAGCTGTTTAGCTTTTCCAAGCTGAAACCCAGAATCACAGACTACAATCTATGGCCTACATTATCTACAAGGCCAAACTGGATTCTGCTAAGAATATTTCCTAACACTACAATCAACAAACGAGACATGGGCTTGGGGACGGGAATTAGAGAACTTGTAAGTAAAAAAACTTCTCTCATAACTCCTCCAGAGCTGCAACATCTAACCTGTTCTCAGTGAAAAGCTTGTTTCCAGATACATAAATGGGTTACCCAGGTGCAAAGAGGACAAAACGACTCACTAGATGTCACGTGGAGGTGCATTTGTATTTAATTTATGAATATTTTAGCTCATTTCCAGCTCTGACTGATGCAATCACTTTCACTCAGTTCACATGACAGCATTCCTATCTGAATACTGTAACTGTTACTTTCTGATGTATTTTTATTTACATCCAGGACACTAAATATTGACAAGTTTTCCAAATCAAGTTGGGAAACAAAACTGAACAGACTTTCCTTACCCAGCATGAAGTCAACAAATAATGGTTTATTGCTTTTCTTCTGGGGTACAGACAGCAAGTTAAAGCACCGAAGCCGGTGAAGCACCAATCTGAACGCTGGACTACTCAACTTGATCCCTTCTCTTTGCAGTACATTTGAACACAACTCAATTAAGTTTTCTATCAGCATTTCCCTTCCCTGGGTGGCCTATGTCCTGGACATAGTGCTATCAGGCATCAAGCATGAGCAGGGAGTCCAAATTATCTCCAGCTACCCTCTCTGAAGTTTTCGCAGTGACAGATAATGTGTCTTTCTCCTGTAAGTTCAAACTGCTCACCCTCACTTTCAAGGTTTCACATTGCTTCATCACTGCCAGTACCTCATCCTCCTCTTCATCTTGCATATTCTACTGTGCTGATAACCATTCTCTGTCATCCACTACACGCTAGTTTCCATTAATCGCTTCTTCACTGAAGAACAGGCAGGATACTCAAGCCTTTCACAAACTCCATGAGATACAACAGAGGCTCACTTAATTTTATGAACGAGTTTCTCCTGATGCTCAAAGTACTACTGAGGCTTTGGCTCTTATCACAAGGGGATACTACCACCAAAAAAAAAAAAAAAAAAAAAAAAAGAGTCCCATTAGCAGCTTTGCCTTCATTCTCGTCCATTCTGTTGTCCCAGCACAGCTGCAGCCAAATCCAGCTAAAAAAACCTAACTTCTCCCTTCTCTTGCAGAAATACAATGGAAGAAAACACTGAGGCAGAACTCTGCTCCTCTTACTAGTAGGGAAGGTAATGGTAGTCCTCCTTCCCTTCTCTTCTACAAGACTATAGCAGAAAAGCAGACAATAGCATAAGCTATTGTCATGTAAAAACTCAAGTGTTTTTTTTATTTTAAATCCATTTCCTAGAACAATTTTGTGCTTTAACCACGCACACTGAAAGAAAAGGATTTATTATAATTCTCTTCCTATTCTATCTGCACATTTTTGCTTTTATCTTTCTTTGATGGCTTGTCAAGACACTGGTTCTTCTGCTGCATAAGCTAAACTTCTTTTCAAATGATCTGTGCCATCCAGGACTTAAAAGCTCTTGGATAAAAACTGCACAAACATACGACATAGAGCAAAGAAGCACAAACACTGAAGCTGTGTTAATCAAACCGCAAGCACTCTGTAAAGTTAATATAACAGCACACGTATATAGCTACTACATGTGTTTATTATAAACACTATTTCTTAGTAACACTGACCACATTTTCCTCTTAAAAATAATACACAAGGGCAGTGCTATTTTGTAACAGCGCACCACTGGATAAATAAAAGGTCAGCCGAGCCCCCAGTGAAGCGCAGGTGCATGTGCTGTGCAGAGAATTAGCTATGTCCATCGGAGCAGCCGGCTGCAGTCCCCCCTGCCTGGCCGTGCTGGTGTCCCCCCGCCGTGTGGCTTCTGCGGTGCGGACCCCCCAGCAGCCTCTGACTGGAGGTGCACCACACCACACACACCCGCCTTGCCCCCCCGCCCCGTTTTCGGGGCTCCCCGCGATGAATGCCTAATGCACAGCAAACCCCACAGCGGGGAACACCTTTCCGTCCGCTTCAGACGCGGACACGATG